TTAATCACATAGCGATGTGAACTAGATTATTGACTCTAGTAAACCCTTTGGGTGTTGTTCACATGGCGATGTGAACTATGGATATTAATCACATAAAGATGTGAACTATTGGTGTTAAATCACATGGCGATGTGAACTAGATTATTGACTCTAGTGCAAGTGGGAGACTGAAGAAAATATGCCCTAGAGGCAATAATAAAGTTGTTATTTTATATTTCCTTATATCGTGATAAATGTTTATTATTCATGCTAGAATTGTATTAACCGGAAACTTGATATATGTGTGAATACATAGGCAAAACTCAGTGTCCCTAGTAAGCCTCTACTAGACTAGCTCGTTAATCAAAGATGGTTAAGTTTCCTAACCATAGACATGTGTTGTCATTTGATGAACGTGATCACATCATTAGGAGAATGATGTGATGGACAAGACCCATCCGTTAGCTTAGCATAATGAATGTTAAGTTTTATTGCTATTGATTTATTCATGTCAAATACATATTCCTTCGACTATGAGATTATGCAACTCACGGATACCGGAGGAATACCTTGTGTGCTATCAAACGTCACAATGTAACTGGGTGATCATAAAAATGCTCTACAGGTATCTCCAAAAGTGTTTGTTGGGTTGGCATAGATCGAGATTAGGATTTGTCACTCCGAGTATTGGGGAGGTATCTCTGGGCCCTCTCGGTAATGCACATCATGATAAGCCTTGCAAGCAATGTGACTAGTGAGTTAGTTGCGGGATGATGCATTACGAAATGAGTAAAGAGACTTGTCGGTAACGAGATTGAACTAGGTATGAAGATACCGACGATCGAATCTCGAGCAAGTAACATATACCGATGACAAAGGGAATAACGTATGTTGTCATTACGGTACGACCGATAAAGATCTTCGTAGAATATGTGGGAACCAATATGAGCATCCAGGTTCCGCTATTGGTTATTGACCGGAGAGGTGTGTCGGTCATGTCTACATAGTTCTCGAACCCGTAGGGTCCGCACGCTTAACGTTTGATGACGATGTTGTATTATATGAGTTATGTGATTTGGTGACCGAATGTTGTTCGGAGTACCGGATGAGATCACGGAAATAACGAGGAGTCTCGAAATGGTTGAGTGGTAAAGATTCATATATAGGACGATAGTATTTGGACACCGAAAGTGTTTCGGGGGTACCGGGTACTTATCGGGTCACCGAAAGGGGTTCCGGGCTACCCACGGCAAACTATATGGGCCTTATGGGCCAAGACGGGAAACACACCAGCCACAAA